ACTGGGAGGGACTGGGGGGACACTGGGGGACACTGGGGGGACACTGGGAGGGACTGGGGAACACTGGGGGACACTGGGGGACACTGGGAGGGGTCCCGGGGGGTTTGGGGACATCCGGGGGGTCCCGGGGTCCCCTCGTGTCCCACCTTGACCTGGAACGAGGCGTCCTGGGAGCACAAGCGAATGTCACAGGCCGAGATCAGATCCACGCCTGGGGGGGGAGCCTTCGTCATCCTCATCCTCATCGTATCCTCATCCCATCCTCATCCTCATCATCCCATCCTCCTCATCATCCCATCCTCCTCATCCTCATCTTCATCCCATCCTCATCCTCATCGTATCCCCATCCCATCCTCATCTTCATCATCCCATCCTCCTCATCAACCCATCCTCCTCATCCTCATCTTCATCCCATCCTCATCCTCATCGTATCCTCATGCCACCCTCATCTTCATCCCATCCTCATCCTCATCGTATCCCCATCCCATCCTCATCTTCATCCCATCCTCATCCTCATCGTATCCTCATGCCACCCTCATCCTCATCATCCCATCCTCCTCATCAACCCATCCTCCTCATCCTCATCTTCATCCCACCCTCATCCTCATCATCCATCCGCATCCTCCTCATCATCCTATCCCATCCTCCTCATCCTCACCCCGCCCTCCCTCATCCCGTTCCCATTCTGTCCCATCCTCATCCTCACCCCAATCTTCATCTTCAGCTTCATCCCGACCTCCCCATTCCCTCACCCCGTCATTCCCATCCCAATCCCGACCCCAATCCTGACCCCAATTCCATCCCAAATCCCATCCCAACCCAACCCACCCCAAATCTCATTCCAAATCCCATCCCCATCCCAAATCCCAAATCCCAAATCCCAAATCCCAAATCCCAAATCCCATCCCCATCCCAAATCCCAAATCCCAAATCCCAAATCCCAAATCCCAAATCCCAAATCCCACCCCGTCCCGCCCCCCTCACCAGCTCCGATGCAGGGCCCGTGCACGGGGGGGATCACGGGTTTGGGGCACTGCGGGATTTTGGGGGTCAGGGGGTCAGGGGGTCGGGGGG